GAAGTTTATCAGTTGGAATACTAATTTCTGGGTTATGAAAGACCAAAAAAAATGTTAATAATTCAAAACAGCATCAAAATTATGATTTTTGATAACTGATAATTAACCTTAATTACGTAACTAAAATCAGGTATTTACCTGGTGTAAACACGTCTCATATATGCAATTGCAGTAGCCACGACCCTGAAAATGCAAGGTATTACAAATTGGTGAAAATTGAATGAACAAATTTTTTGCATCATTTAAAGACTTAAGATCATAAAGAAAAACAGAATTAACTTTCTTCTTCATGCATTCCCTAGAGCCCAACTATAGGAACATATTGGCTTTAAGGCCAGCACATCTGATGCACAAATAGATGTTGCCACAGGGCAGTCCATGAATATTGGACTTACCGCTGACAACTCATCAGCCATGAACAGACCCTGTTCAAGTTCAATATTATACCCAAAGAAAACTGATATCTACAGGAAACTGATACTTTTTATCATAAATAATGACTGAGAAAATGAAAAGGAACTGCCACCCAATTACCCAGGAAGCAGACAAGAGAGAACCAAGAGACGGCCACTAGTACAAAGAATATCTTAACAATACACTGGTAAAACATGATTTCATTTCTTTGTCATATTTCTGTTAATATGATGGCCAGATTAACTAAACAAGTCTCATTGAAATCCTATTAATCATGTTTTATCTAGAGACCATTAGGTAAGCTAGGATGATTAATTTGAACAGGTTATTTTCCTAGGCATATATTAATTAATAAAACTTAAAGAAGAAGCTCTATAGAAGTATATACATGCTAAAATCCATGAGCTGAGATAAACTACTCTAGATGGTTGGTGATGCTGCATTTACCTCAAAGAGTTATCTCTTTCAGCCATCTCCTCTCATCCCATGGCACACCCCAACCCGTAAGAAAAAAGTAAAAAGAACATATTGTTGAGACCACAGGCATGGCAGAGCCACAGACATTTCACTAATCCAGCAAAACCCCAATATACAAATTAAAAAAGCAACACGTTCCTCCGCTACATGTATATAGTGTTTCTTTTCCTTCTTTGATAGGAAAAATGTTCACACGAGAGATTGAACCCAACCTCCCCATGGGATATGCCCAATTGGCTAAGGTGCGATATATCTGGAGTTAAAGAACAAACCTTTGCCTCACTTTAACATGTTGAGCCAATTTCAATACATCTGTAAAGAGACATATACAGGATTAATAAATTTTAAGTCATCCAGTGATGCAAAAGGAAACTACGAAGTATGTATATGGGAAAGCCAGCTTCCCAAGGAAAATCAAATAACTGCATGCAAACTCACAATAAATCATATAATTACCTACTCACCGGTAAGTAACTTAAACTTATTCTTGATTATCTATCTACGTGCCATAGTAACCTAATAACTTGTACATCTATGACTCTCTATCTAGTTCTAACGCATTGGAGGATCTACCCTCCCAATTCATCGCCTTGTAATTGATGATAGCAATTAGATTGATCGTGACTCTACCTAGACAGAGTCATTCAAGTATCTAGCCCATTGGATTAAAATAACTATCCCACACTTTTGACAGCATCCAAAAGACAGGGTAGAACTTCCCCCACAAAATATGTAAATTTCAGGGTTTTAGTTCTTAAATGGATTTCTAAGGAATAAATAGAGATAGCAACAAGAAGCAGACGGGCTAAATAAAACAAGATTGAACCAACGAAAGAAAGCAGCGGCCTCGTAAGAAACTCAACATGAGTATAAGAAAAATCAACACACTTTTCACGAAACGCGAAGTATGTATTCCACGAAAATTTAAACGAAACCCAGACAAGAAGTATCAATATAAGACGCTAAAATTAGTGAAACCAAATAAAATTTCGAATCAAACCAACGAGGTTATGCAAGGAAAAGTACCATTCGACATATTGCATTCTTGAATGAGCTTGAAATCCTCCGATGTTGAATGCCCCCTCCTCTT